TACTTTTTGGTATGTATCCAAAGTTCGACCCGGTCATACTTAATGCCTTTTTCACTTGTTTGTTTCTGCTTTATAATATTATTTATTTTATTGCAAATGGAATTAAATTTGATTATTTTTAAAGTTCATTAAAAATCACATTGTCGTCCCTTTCACTCCATTTAAAAATGCCAACTGCCTTGAATGCCACCACCAAAGCTATTATGATTGCGATCGAAATCTCGGCTGCCTTGGGCATAAACATCGATGGTACCACGTCCATCATTGCTGGTGTACACGTTCTGGTTGTACTTTACAGATGCCTCACGTCCATTTTGATCCGAATGATATTCCAAATCGATTCTGCCATGGCGCGGAGTACGAACTATGACATTATTTGTATTTCCATCCTTTGAATCCAAAGGCAACCCACAGACAAGGATTACACAAGAAATCACCAAGAGGAAATATTTTAAGGCGAACATTTTTGATTTCTTTTAGATATAGTGTTCAAGTAAAACTGTTGAATGATATTTGAGAAATCGATGTTGTATTTATATACACCCAAGATCCAATCGATATTATCATTAATTTAAAATTGATAAGAATCAATTGTTATAATTGTGCGTATAAATTTCCATGTAATTTTTAATCAATTGGTACTTTACTTTTTGTAGCATTTCTTGGAATATTAATTTCAAGTTCAACAAACAAAAAATGATTTGAAAAAAACTTTAAAACTCTAAATATAATTTCCGGGTAGTGCTTCTTACAGCCGTTGAAATATTTCATAATAAATTATACCCTCCAAGAAAATAGTTCAATTTTTTAATAAATAAATAGCTGCCAGGAGAATACGAAATTCCAAACTACAGACAAACAGTTTAGAAAATTGGCAAAGGACTTTTATCATACCGAAAATTACACACGACCTTTGTTGAGGGACTATTGTAGAATCATTGTCTTATATTGAAACTGTCCTTTGAAGAACACAACCTCCCCAAAATATCCAAATTGCAGATGTATCGTAACAAGTGGAAAAATATTGATTCATTTGTTACACTCTTAAATACATTAAAATATTAATTCTTTAATTTTATTTTACCTGTCTATTAAAAATCGGCAAAAATTCCAATTAATAATGGGAGTCCCCTAATAAATTCTGGTATGAGCTGGAAATGTAATTCCCCTCTCAAATAATCAAAAATTTATGTGAAAACCATATCATATTTTTTCGAGAACAACAACAACAATGGCATCAACAAACTATTATCAGCTAAGAGGGAATCCCTGATACAGAATAGAAGATGCACACACATTTCACAATAAAAGCATCACATTTAAGTCACAATATTCAATCTAGTCTACAGCATCGTTCAATACAACAGCTATTTGAAAATATAATATTAAATATAAAATGTTTAACTTAAAATCTTTTGTATTATTGATTTCTTGTATCGTTCTTGTCACATCTCTACCGGCGACATTTGAGAATAATTTTGAAATGGAACCTGAGGCATTGGAAAACTACGAAGCCATGGATCATGCTCGTTATATCCGCTCACCCCAACATGGTAGTGTAAATATTGGTTACAACAAAGATCAACGTGGACGTGAAGCTTCCGTGCAATATAATCATAATTTATATACCAGCCGTGATGGTCGTGGATCCATTGACGCCTATGCTCAAGGTAGCCGAAACTTTGATTACAATCGCAACAACTTCGGTGGTGGCATTCAAGGAAAATGGAGATTTTAGTTAGACTTATTAATTGATGTTATTTATTAAATTTTCAAAAATAAAAGAAGAATATTTATTAGCACAAACGCCTGTGTTTTTTTAATGATGGGCATGAGAAGAACATTCTGTCGGAAATTATTGGGTTAGGCACAATCAATATGAACAATTAGGTGAGTTGAACTTAGGGTAAAGCGTCATCATATTGGCGAGCTGATTGCAGGTCAGATTGAGCTGAATGCAGGGCGCCATAAATATACACAACCTAGGCTAGCCTTTATTAAGACGAGCTGAAGGGAGTCGTTATAGGCGATCTAGATAAAGAATAATTTTTTTCAACATTCCAAAATGTTAATTAAACAAATTGTCAAGTACGAATACTACCAAAGAGTGAATTTTTAATGATTATTATCAAGAACTATCCTAGGTGTTTATTGAAAAAAATAAGAACACCTCAAAATGTGGAAAGTATATTAAGTTTGTCATTTTGTTTGCAACCCCACTAAGTATATACATTCTTGATCAAAACATTCTATGTCGATTTACACATCACATCAAATCAGGATGGAAATCGCAACGTTAAAGACAGAGCTTTGAAATTTTTCCTAGACATTACTAGTAGTCATAGCATGTTTTGATATTGCAAATTGCATATATAGGTCAAAGTTTTGGTTTAGTCCCCAATTTTCGTTATTTTGGGGATTTTGGTCACTTTTTTCAAACGAGGAGCCTGTAACAAGGTATTTGCGGTTCTCGTTGAATAAGACATATCCATTGCCAAAATTATTAGTATTTACCCATGTTTCAGGGTAGCCTCCATATAACGGTACTCCCCAATAGGCTATAGTTTGATATTTTGGGTTCTCATTGTATATCACATATTCGTACCAAATATTATTAATATTGACCCGAACTTCAGGTTAGCCATCATCCAACGGTACCTCCCCCTTGTATTCGTTTTTTATGATTTGGGACACGTTTTCCAATCAACTTAGTTGTAATTTTTATTTTTTATTTGTTAATATTGACCCACGTTTATGGGTAGCTCCCATAATATGGTACTCCCCATTATAGGAATTTTTGACACGTTTTCAATCAAATTGGCTGTAATTTGGGTTCTCATAACGGTATTACCACATCTCCGCACCAAAAATTATTAATATTTACCTAAGTCAGTATTTTGAGAATTTTGGACCCTTCATCACACTGTGGTACAGGATATTATGTCTTTGTGCATATGTTTGTAACAGGCAAAAGAAATCGAGATAGACCCATGGTTCCTTTTGGGAATATGCATAGCATCACTTTCTGTGTTGAATTATGCATGTCTGTCCGTCCGTCTATCTACGTATTCTTGTGAAAAAATACAGATCGCATTTATTATCCGATTTAAGTTATATTTGGCATAGCTCACTTATTTGGCCCAAGGACAAACTTTATTGAAATTGGTGAAAATCGGTTCAGATTTAGATCTAGCTCCCATATATAGCTCCCCAATATTTGTCTGATCGATACAAAATTTTGTACAACATACCGAATTAGATCCAGTGAAGTGAAGTGTGAAGTTTTGTTAATATCGGTTCAGATTTAGATATAGCTCTCATATATAATCTCGTCCGATTTTTGGTAAATGGTGCACCAAACTCCCAATATTTGTCCGTGAAGTTTTGTTGAAATAGGTTCCCCGTTTCTGTATTTTGAGGGCTTTAGCCGTCGTAACCGAACGAAAGGAATATAACTTAGCATTCCGGGTTTAGGAATTTATAAAAAAATACAAACAATTTCCATTAGAAATAATGGTCTATCATGTCTCTTTTTGCATGTGTGTAAACTCTGACCAAATTACCTTTAATATTATATAACATTTCATGATATTATACTCAATTTACACCAGCATTGTAAATATTAAATGCAATACTGATCAATACAGGTTATATAAATGTTCATTATAGAATTTCACACCCTCCTCCAACGAGTCTTTTAAATATCCACAGTGTGCAACCCTTTGGTAATAAAAACAAGTAATAAATTTCCTTTTAATTTTATAATTCTTTATTATTTGTTAAAAAAGAATTAAAATCGATATTTTCCTTGAATTCCACCACCAAAATTATTGTAATTATAATCGAAATTACGTGTTCCATGGGCATAGGCATCTATGGTACCACGTCCATCACGGGTGGTGTATAAATTCTGATTCAACTGCACCGAAGCTTGACGACCAAATTGATCCTTATTGAAGTCAGCAGAAGCACCACTACCAGCAGACCATTTACCCTGAACACCACCACCAAAAGCGTTGGCATTGTGATCGAAGTTGCGACTTGCATGTGCATTGGCATCCAAAGATCTATCACCATTGGAGTAAATATTCTGCTTATATTGTACAGATGCTACACGACCATTTTGATCCTTGCGATAGTCCACACCAACACTACCACCATCGGGAGAACGAACATGACGAGAAAGTGGTAATGCTTCATATTGCTGCAATTGAATACCCTGGGCTGCAAATCCGTCGTCAAACATTTCTATGGGTGAGGCATTGGCAACAATTAGGCAAGCAGCCATTAAAGTGATACACTTGATAGCGAACATTTTTTTCTTTTCTTGTGGTATTCTACACTTTGTTATGTTAACTGAATGATGATAATTTTGGAATGCTTGGACTTTATATACTGAATAATTATGGAAATGATTGCACGAAATGGGATTCACTTTTTTCGTACTGATAAGAACTGTTGGTGTTGGAAATTTGTTTTAAAAGATGATATGCGGTACAGTTCATTATCTTCTTTAGTATATTATAATGGAGAGCTACTAGAGTTAAGTACTTTTTTCTTAGATCATCCCATCTTCATATTATGGTATCATTTAAGAAATTCCGTATACTAAAATTAGGCACGCAAGTTCTACAAATATATTTCTATAAAATTTTATCAATATTGATCGATCTTGACCGAACAGTTGAATATCTTACCAAAAGTATTGGAACGGATTAAATAATTTTCTATCCCAAACTAGATTGAGAATTATTATTAATTTTTAAAGATAATTGCTTAAAATGTTGTAACACAATTTATTTTCTGAAGATGAAATTTATTTTCAATGCAGTACTTCCCCATATAACATCTGCCAAAAATCAAATTTTTATCAATTGAAAAAAGTGAATCCCATTTCATGCAATTTTCACATGTTTTTATATATAAAGACCAATCATCCCAAAATTAGCATCATTCAGTTAACATAAAAACGTGTAGAACACAATAAACCAATAAAAAAAATGTTCGCCTTGAAGTTCAGCATTTTTATGGCAGGTTGCCTTGCGTTAAGCACTGCCTCACCCATAGACATATTTGAAGACGGATTTGAAGCCCAGGACAATCAATTGGAGCAATATGAACCATTATTACTTTCTCGCCATGCTCGTTCTCCCGATGGTGGTAGTGTTGGAGTGGACTACCGCAAGGATCAAAATGGTCGTGTAGCATCTGTACAATATAAACAGAATATTTACTCCAATGGTGATAGATCGCTGGATGCCAATGCCCATGCCAGTCGCAATTTCGATCACAATGCAAATGCTTTTGGTGGTGGTGTACAGGGTAAATGGTCTGCTGGTAGTGGTGCTTCTGCTGATTTCAATAAGGATCACTTTGGACGTCAAGCTACGGTGCAGTTGAATCAAAATTTATTCACCACTCGTGATGGTCGTGGTACCATAGATGCCTATGCCCACGGAACACGTAATTTTGATCGTAATTATAATAATTTTGGTGGTGGATTTCAAGGAAGATATAGATTTTAAATAATTGTTTTAAAAAATTTTGTATAAAAATAAAGAAATACAAAATATCTTAAAGAAAAAAATCACATTTTCTACTTGTTTTTTTATAGCAATATAAAAATGTACCCCAAAAGTACACCTCTGCCTAATTTTGTGAAAAAATTATAGATCCGAAGTATTCCAAATGTTATACTGTAATTGTGGAACTGTATATGGATACGGAAAATGTCGATGTTCTAGAATAAAATGCACAATTATTTTATATTTTTTACGCTTCAGCCAAGTTACCTGGAATTTTACATTTAGGAAGAAACATACTTTCAGAACATTTTCATGTTTTGACACACCATTTGGGTAGTTTGATGGTTTTTGGAGCGGAAATATATAAATGCGTAATATTGTATTGATATTACCCCATATAAATTATCCGCCTCATTTCGGGTATGTGATAGTTTAATCTACATTTCGCAGTGCAGTATCCCTAATTTGAAATTCCGGTTTCTCGGAGTGTAAACATAAACTTCATACATTCAACAGGGTCTTTCAACCCCAATAGGAATTTCCACCCCCCTAAAATTCTGTCGCACAGTGTATTTATATATGGTCTGTTCCCGTTCTGCAAGAATCTACTACTTTTTACTACGATAACGAATTTTCATTTATGATATCGACGAAAATAGTAAAATCTAGAAGATTCTTGCAGAACGGGAACAGACCATATATAAATACAGTTTCGTCCGATTTCATGTAAATGGTGCGCCAAAGTCCCTATATATCCTTCGATTTGCACGAAATTTGCCATAGAGTGATGTCTGCTAAGTTTTGTGAAAATCGGTGCAGATATAGATATAGCTCCCAGTTTTGTCCGATTTTAAGTAAATTGGGCATCAAACTCCTCATGTTAGTCAGATTGACATCAAATTTTGCACAACGTACAAAATTGAGCAGGTAATTACGTAGTTGCGTTTTCTAGATGTACAGACATAGCCCAACGGATGACCTATTGATATTTGTATGAATCTCCTTTTTATTGTGTTTCAACAGCGAATCTGTTACCAACTACCTCGCAATGGAACGCACGGATTCTGCCAATGAAACAGCTGATGGGTGGTTTTACAGATCTATTGGCTATCTCATTCCCTTCAATGTTATTATGTCCTGGAACCCAACATAAACCAACTATCTGTCGTATATCATTCAAAGCTGACTTACAATAATGAACTGCTTACGAGTTTATAGTATGCGACTTCACCGCTTTCAGGGCCACTTGACTATCGACATATATAGTCGCCGGTCCCGTGTTGTCGCCATTAAGTGCTTTTACTATTTCGGCCGCTTTCGTAATTGCAAGAATCTCTGCTTGAAAAACGCTACAGTTATTGTTGAGTTTATATGAGTTGTATATTCCTAATTCCCTACAGTAAACGCCTGCGCCAGTACCTTCCTCCATCTTAGACCCGTCTGTAAAGATTGACAGACCTGGCAGAGGTAAAAAGCCACTAGTCCAGGATTCCCTACTAGGAAATTCAACATTGATACCATTAAAGACCTTATGAGGGGGAATATAGTGACTGATATGACTGTTCCCCCTAAAAAGGTCATAACCTGACGTTATGTTTAGAATGCTGGCATGACCATAGCTCAGTGATTTCAAGGCATCCGTTTCTCGGAGCCTCAGAGCGCACCTGGCAGCCTGGAATTTAATCAGAATATCCAATGGCTGGAGATTCAAAATTGCGTTCAAGGCTGCTTGTGGTGTACATCTTAATGCTCCGGTGATCAGAATTGAACCCGATCGCTGTACTAAGCTCAATTTTGTCAGCAGCATATTTTTGTTAGCCCCTTGCCACCAAACAAGACAACCATAGGTAAGTATGGGTAAGACGATCGTCGTTTACAGCCAGTGTATAATTTCGGGTCTCAATCCCCAGCTCTTACCTATGGAGTTCTTACATGAATAGAGTGCCAGCAAACCTTTCTTAGAGCGTTCCTCGTCATTCCTATTCCACAATAGTTTGCGGTCTAGGATGGTGTCAAGATACTTTGCTTCTTCAGAAAGGGTTAAAGTCACTCCTCCAAGTGATGGCAGACGGAAACTAGGAATCTTGCGTTTTCTAGTGAAGAGCAATAGTTCGGTTTTTGTGGGGTTTAAACCAAGACCTTCGGTGCATGCCAAATTAGACAGAATTGAAAGGGCACCCTTCAGGATCAGGGATGGTCCGTGTGACGAATTTTTAGGTTTTCGACTATCAAAAAGGTGTAAACGTCGAAAACGTCATATACCTGTATAAAATGTAATAAATGTAGTAAACGTCATTTATTTCAATATTATCAGCATATACAGTTATTTTCAAAAATATATATTATTTTTACATATATCTGACCATTCACTATTAGAACTGATAAAAGTTTCTAAATTTTTTTGGGAAGAAAATTTTGAAATTTTATATTAATTTGAGTAAAGCATACGCAATTTCCAAATTGATTAATGGAAATAGCTATGTTGTCAAAAACCTAATGGTTTTGGGAGGGTTTCCGACGTTTCTGACGTATGTATTATACGTCGGAAATGTATGTCATTTAAGTCACTGTTTCTGACAGGCCATCTCTGTTCAGGATGCCTGCAATTTTCGTTAGAAACTTACCCCCAACCAGCAGGACCACATCATCGGCATGTGAACTTTGGACAGAGTATTAATTGACGGGTTTATTTATAATCCTATTTCTACCCTACGCCCTAAGATGGAAATGAACAATTATGACATTTTAGTTGTGAGAATAATAGTCGGACACCAAATAAAACACATTTAATTATATTCGTTTTTTTTAATAATCCTTTATTTGTGTATATACATATTTTTTACAAACATTTAAAAACGATATCTTCCTTGAATTCCACCACCAAAATTATTATAATTATAATCGAAATTACGTGTGCCGTGAGCATAGGCATCTATGGTACCACGTCCATCACGAGTGGTGTACAAGTTCTGATTCAACTGCACCGAAGCTTGACGTCCAAAGTGATCCTTATTGAAATCAGCAGAAGCACCACTACCAGCAGACCACTTACCCTGTACACCACCACCAAAAGCATTGGCATTGTGATCGAAGTTGCGGCTGGCATGCGCATTGGCATCCAGTGATCTATCACCATTGGAGTAAATATTCTGTTTATATTGTACAGATGCTACACGGTCATTTTGATCCTTGCGATAGTCCACTCCAACACTACCACCATCTGGAGAACGAGCATGGCGAGAAAGTAGCAGTGGTTCATATTGGTCCATTTGATTATCCTGGGCTTCAAATCCGTCTTCAAATATTTCTATGGGTGAGGCAGTGGCCAACGCAAGGCAAACTACCATTAAAATGGTGAATTTCAATGCAAACATTTTGTGTTTTTTTTGTTGTATTCTACACTTGATTATCTTAACTGAATGATGCTGAATTGTGGATGCTTGCTCTTTATATAGTGACGTATTGTGAAAATAATTGCAAGAAATGGGATTTACTTGGTTTGAACTGATAAGAATTTTTGGTATGAAAAAAAGTGTATCTTTAACAAATGTTACTAGAGGCAGTACGTTTACTTCTCCTGTGTTTATTAAAAAGGGGATGTACGGTAAGTTTGGTACTTTTTCGAAGAGGAAATAAATCCCAATGGAATTTCTTTAGTAATTTAGGGTATTTTTTCTTAATCATCAAGCACTAAAAATTGGTGTCGAAGTCAGAGTCCACTCAAAAATAAAAAAAAAACTTATGATATTTTTGTAAGAATTTAAATTAAATTGTATTTATATTACAAAAATTGCATTATTTTAAACTGCAATATATTTATTTATAGATTCCTAAAATCTCCATCTTCCTTGTATGCCACCACCAAAATTGTTACGATTATGATCGAAATTACGGCTACCTTGGGCATAGGCTTCAATCGAACCCCGACCATCTGGACTTGTGTATACATTGTGGTTATATTGCACGGATGCCTCACGCCCACGTCGATCTTTGTTGTATTCAATGCTTAAGTTTCCATTGCTAGAAGAGTTATCCTTTGGCTTATTTGCTTCCATGGTTGAGTAGTGTTATTGATTGTAAATAATTGAATGATGTTTTGATTCACAATTGAGCGGGTTTATATACATATCCACAAGCCGACTAAGGGTATTTACTTGGTCGTTTTGATAAATGTATTATCGATTGGTATCTCAATTTAGAGACTCATGTGTATTTATGACATTCAATAAGGGTAATCACCAGTTATTTTTATACCGTCCAGCATATACCTGAGGGTGTATTAATTTGTTTTTATTCCCTTCCTAACATTTCGAAATATTGTTTTTGCAAAATAGTCAGGCTGAATCCCAGTTTGTTGTTTTTATAAAAAAAAATAAATAACTATTTATTAGTTGGGAATGTATGGCATTGTTTGCCGAGTTTGCCCTCGGCAAGAGACATTTGGGTATAAAAGATTTTTTGTATAGAAGCAATAGCTTCTGGGGAGAATATCCCAACAAAAAACTAAGGGATTTGATGAGGATCAGTGGCGTAATCCGAAACTATAGTCTTCCCTGCCTTACCCCTCGGCAAACAATGCCATACATTCCCCACTAATAAATAGTTATTTTTTATAAAAATTGGGATTCAGCCTGACTATTTTGCAAAAACAAAATAGAAATGGTATCCCAAATAACCCGCCAACACTATATTTCGAAATATTTCTACAGAATTACTGACTATCATAGGGTGGAGTTTACATTGTCATTTTCTGGTTTTTGCAGTGTTTTTCAACCGAATTGGATGTAATTAGGTATTTTGTGTTTTCATAGGGTTACACATATTCCTACCGTAAATGATCAAAAATGGTCCACCTATTACCTCGATTTAATGATACCCCCATTATTCGGTATTTTGAGGAATTCGGGCACGATTTTCGTGAATCTTTCTACCAAAAATTATCAATATTGGTCTACCATTTAGGGTAACCCCATATCACGGCTGTAATTTGTTTCCCAGTTCC